TCACTTCAGAATACGAAAAGCGATACAGACCCAAGCTCAAATCCAGATGCAAGCAAATGAACAGAATAAAATAATTCCTGCATTACATGGGACCAGACTCCAGTCAGTTACTTCAGTGATCACATCTCAAGGCCATCGTCCATTTTCTGACCAAAAAAAGGGAAAGCAATACAGTGAAAAAAAAGAACAAATAGGAATATGAAGCATGCTATTAAAAAAAAAACAAAAAAGAATCAACTAATTCGTGATGGTAAAGAAAAAAAAAAACATTCGGAACAACTCCCCCCAACCCCCCCCCCCCCNCCCCCCCCCCCACCTCAAACAAAGAACGAATTAAGAGAAGAGACGAGAAGAGAACGCTAAGGGCATACTCACACTGCTACCAATCTATCACAAAATTTGCTGGGTTAAGTGGGTGGGCTAAAACAGATTTGGTGGGCCGCACAGTCACAAAGGTCCTAGCATTGGGGTGAAGACAGAGCCCCATGGCCCTCAATGGTCAAGAGAGTTTGTGCTGGCGACAGTCACATTGCAAAAAGCACCGGATAAGTTAGGCTGCATGAAGAAGCAAATAAGAAAGAAAGGCCAATTAAGATCAAAGAAAGTAGTAAACTAATGACCAAATACACACAAATAGGTGCAAACTGCATAAACCAATCACACTTTGTTTTATGAGGAGAATAGTTCCAATGGTAGAACAATGGTCTCCAAAACCATAGGTTAAGGGTTCTAATCCCTTTTCTCTTGTAGTTTTATTGGTTTTTTATATTCATTATCCTTTTGATTTATTCAATTAATGAAGAACTGTTGAATTCTTATTTTTTTGCTTCGAATCTCATCTCAAACTACTCAATATTTAATGAATTTCATATACAATAACATAATTTCAAAAAAAAAAAACAGAATATAACAATCTAAAAATTTAATAAATAATATAGTAATCTAATAAAATATAATGAATATAAATAATTGATTATATATAAATTATAAATAATTATGTTTATTCTTATTTATCTATTTGATATCTATATTTTGATAAGAAAGTATAAAAAGAAAGTCAATGATAATTTTTTCTCTCTCAAGACGAGGTATATGTTTTCTGACCCATAAATCGAATTTGCCCATAGTTTTGTTCCTTATTTATTTGAATTTCCAAGGGGGTAAGAACCCCCCTTTTCAATATCATTCTTAATTTGGCTTGCTTGGGAGTTTGTAAAGATCGGGGTTTTCACAACGACCTGTGGAGTAATGGAAGTCTCCAAAGTTGACTTGCGTTTAACTAATTTGAGCTTATTTATCCTTATGAAACCTAACTCTAAATTGTCTATACCATGCTGTGTTTCCTATATTTGTTTCCAACTCTGCGGCGAGCCTCCAGAGGCTCACTAGAGGTAATGGTTTAGGGGTTACTAGGCTTTGAGAGTTTGGTAGATTTTTTCTTTTATTTATTCCCCGCATTACTTCAACTATCATTCGTTTTAGTCGATTAAGTGCAATTCTTACTTGGCTTTGTAGCATATCTGCAATCAAGTGTACACGACGGTTCTTTAGGTGGTCAATATCATCTTAATTTCCTATTTTAAAGCTTTTTTCGATAACGATATTATGAATTTTTATTGGTATTCTGTTATTAATTTATTCATATTTATATTATTAAATGATATATATCATTTAACTATATTATAGATCCTATAAATATAGATTATATATAACTTTATAATTGAGATAGATTGTATATAATTTATATATGAAATAATTTATATATATGGAAAGAATACAAATAAATAGTTTGTCGAATCAAATTATATAACAAAAATAAAATAAACAAAATAAAATATAAACAATATATAAAGAATAATATGGTTGTCACTTTTGTATTTATCTATGATGCGAATTTGGGGGCATGTAATTTCACCCCTTTCACTTTTATCAAAAGCGATATCATCTCATGCTATATTGACATAAATAGTCCAATTATGAATACAGTCTTCAATAAATGAGTATTATTGAATTATGGTACACATAATCTATTCGTCAAATATCAATTGTGAATTCTAGATATAGCAAAATCTAGCAAACTAATCATCGAAGTATGAAACAAACCTAAAGATGCGATAACCTAAATGTAAACAAGCAAAATCTTACCTTATTCAAGGGGTCAATTGATTATTTACTAGGTGATCTAACCATGGCCAGGATGAAGCTTGGGTAAAACTAAGTGGAGGTCCAAACCGCCCGATGTTGAAAAATCGGCGGATGAGTTGTGGTTAGTGGTGAAATGCCACTCRAACTCGGAGCTAGCTGGTTCTCCCCGAAATGCGTTGAGGCGCAGCAATTAACTRCACTATCCAGGGGTAAAGCACTGTTTCGGTGCGGGCGGTCGATTGATTTTCATGTCAATTTACTCTGATTTTGACTCAAGGTGACAAGATTCAAACCTATGACCATCTTATATTTCTAAAAGATATAACTCCAGTCATTTACAATATTGCACATCTAGGCATATGGTGTTCCCAAATTTTCTTGGTAGAGGCAACTTCGTTGCACTTAGGATCGCCTGTATGAAGGGTCTTTGTTTTACATGATCAGTATGATTCTCCTATTAACAAAGAAAATCATATGTAAAATACAGGCCGCATTAGCGGAGATTTCACAACGGTCTGTGGAGTAATGGAAGTCTCCAAAGTTGACTTGCGTTTAACTTATTCGAGTGAATTTATCCTTATCTTCGTGTCGCCACAAAGTTCAAACTATATCATCATCCCAAGCAGCGATGTCTGGCGTGTAGTCGCTGAGGGGCGCAGTGCATGTATCAACACATGACTTCCCTGCTGATTGTCCGCGCCGACACATTTGTCATTTGGTTGGATACTCGGCAAAGTTCCCAGCATATATCTAGCTTCGCGCCTACACCTTACTGCGCAAGTACCCCAAGATGATGAGGTGCCAAAAGACTCCGTCGATACGAGCTCTTGGCAGTCGAGCCTATTCTACCAAGTAGTGGTGCTGTCATATTTAAATGCAGGTATACTTTACATATTTGCTACTTTGTCTTTAGGTGTCTATGGTATTATAACAACAGGTTGGTCTAGTAATTCCAAATTTGCTTTTCTAGGAGCACTATTATAGGAGCAGGTTTCTAGGAGCAGGTTTCTTATGAAGTTTCTATTGGTCTTATTATAATTACTGCATTAATTTGCGTAGGTTCTTGTAATTTCACGGAAATAGTCATAGCACAAAAATAGATATACTTAACTGATAATTCCCTCTCTAAACTCATGACCCAATTAAATATACCTGGCAATTCCGTACTTAAGATTCCTTACCAATCATCGTTATGTGGGATCGGTTCGATCAGTACTTTAGCCTGGTACTGGAATCTCATTCTCCGCCTTGAACAGTACCAAACCTTCCCATAGCAACTTTTGCATGACAAGGGCATCGGTGGAGGCTTGAGGCCAAATTGTGGGGGTCACAGCCAGACGACTGAGCATGAGTGGCCGGAAGATGGGGAAGCGGGTGCACACATACACCATACACTAGCAGCGTGTCTAATATGTTCTTTGGTCGGTTTCGATAAGGGCCAATCTGCATTGTCTGCACTGTGCATGGTGATGAAACACTCAACACACCTCTTTCCACGAAATCCTGCTGTAGAATTAGTAATTACTAATTACTATCAACCTTGTTTCTCAATAGCAAATTTCCCTCACAAAATCTCAGTGATCAATAGCGTACAACGAAAACAGTGAAAGAAGGGTTTATGAGCACCAGAAAATGAGTATAATTAAAGCTGCGAAAGTGAATTAACACAATTACACTCAAATCATCCCCCCCCCAACACAAACACACACACACACACACACACACACACACACAGAGAGAGAGAGAGAGAGAGAGAGAGAGAGAGAGAGAGAGAGAGAGAGAGAGAGAGANGAGAGAGAGAGAGAGAGAGAGAGAGAGAGAGAGAGAGAGAGAGAGCATGAATATACGGTGAAGGGATGGTTTAGAGAAGGTGGTTCCGAGAAACTAGTATTACTTAAATCCTTCATGCAACAACTTGTTTGCCATTCATACTCGGACAAGGAGGAAACCACATAGTGGGTATTCAATGCATCACCAGTCAGTGTCATCCATAATTTGGAGTTAATGATTGACATGACTTTTCTTTTTTTGGTCATGCTAATCTTCATTGTATGCTTCCAATTTTGACTGATGTCCCATGAGTTAATGAGCAACATGCAATAACCCATTCAGTATGCCTCGTGGAATGTCTAAGGGCCTCGTCGGGCCACGACTCAGACCCAGCCTGAGGGGGAGAAAAGACCCCTACGAGAATTCAGGGCCTGAGCGGGCGACAGTTGACCAAAGTCAACTGCCTGACGTCCAACAGTCAAAGTCAAAATGGACCCAGCCCAGGCCGCCGGTCAGACGTACACACTTGTTTGTATGCAGGTACCCAGACAGCATCAGGACCAAGGGGAGTCTGCAATTGTACACAATCCAGACCCTCGGATGTGAGTCAATCTGCACAACTGTGGGAGGGAGACCTGAGGCCAGACTGCCTCGTCAAACACTACATAAGGCTTGGTCTCCAGGAGGTCAACATTCAGTCTTGCTATGCTGCCTCGATGCTGGCTTGACTTTAGCTGGACGCTGGCTCGACGCTGGCTGGACGCTCGCTTGACGCTGGCTGTGCGCTGGTACTGTGGAGGACGACGTGGGACTTTGGCAGCATGCTGGCGCCTTCTCTGCAGCACCAGCCTCTGCTGATGGGCGCGTGCCACCTGTCTTCATTGCTGATGTGGCGCATGCCACCTGTCTACATTGCTGATGTGGCGCAGGCCATCTGTCTTCATTGCTGATGTGGCGCATGCCGCCTGTCTACATTGCTGATGTCACGCAGGCCATCTGTCGACATGGCTGATGTGGCGCATGCCACCTGTCTCTACTGCTGACATGGCACTGGCCAAGCTGTCGTCATGAGGTGACTGGTTGCG